CACAAAATAGAGAGAGCTATTTTCTGTGGCAGAGCAATGCATTTCTTATCTCTCTCGCCACATAAATATTAATCTGGCTTCCTGTGAAAGTCAGAGAAAGATTTAAGAAAACCGAAGGGCTGGCATGTGCCATTTGTGGCAATGTGGAGGGCTTTGGGCTGTGCTGGTCATTTGTCACTGCATTGTGGTCTCAGCTGGGCAGGGCTGGCAGTCGCTCGGCAGGCTACTGTTTATTGAGAAAGCTAATATTAGGAATAGATGTGATAAGAATTGCCTTTAAAGAAACTAATTGAATGCTATCTTGTGTTTGGCACAAGCATCGTGTTTTTCTGTGGTTTATGGTATGAGAGTTCTTTATTCACTCTCTCTTTTTTGGTATAAAATCCATTATTTAAAATTTGAGGAGAGGGGGAGAGCATGTGAGGAGCTTTGTGTATCAGGCTGATCCTCAGTGATAGCCTTTCTTCTCTACTACTTGCTGCGAACATGACAGATCAACAGAAAATACTGGAATGGGACTCGTCATCCTAGGGTTCACCTGAAACTCTTTGCAAATTTTTACCTGGGACAGAGCAAAGTTGACATGTGCTAGACCATCGTGAAGGGTGAGGTGGTGATATCGCTACTAAGTCATGCTCTTTCTAATCTTTTATCTTTTAGTTGATTACTCTTATCTAGAGGTTATAAAACTCTCCCAAAGAAAAACAAATCCTGGACAAATACAGGATAAAAACGTTAAGTAAAATATACCTTGTAGATCTTGATTTTCATTGTATAATGCACTTAGGTTCTTAGCATGTTTAGAAAATTTGCAAATTCCAAATACAAAAATATCCCCCTGCTAGTGTGATCAGTAAACTGGAGTAGAGATGTGGTAATTTCAGTAAATGGTAGTTTGTTAAGTTTAAGAAACCTTGCACTATCAAATTGTGTTTTTGAAGAAATTCTATACTTCGTCTAAATGCTGGCACACATGAGCTTGGTGAACTAGATCACAGTATGCAGGAAAGTCACAACTGGCCGCAAGGAAGTAGCAATGGGGTTAAATTTATATTTGCCTAAAAGGTCCGGAAAGAAATAAGACTGCAAGAGGTATCTGTCTGTTCTGTAGAACATACCATAAAGCAACTGTGTTGAAAATGTAAGCCAAGAGTGGAATTGTTCACTTAGCTTTTGTTTTTATTTTCACTTTTACAGAAATCCCTTCCTTCCTTCCCTCTTGCTTTTGGGTACTAGGTTTTGATTTCAGGACTTCACACTTGCTAAATTGATGCTCAGCCACTTGAACCATGCCTCTAGCCCTATAGAAGCAAAAAGCAGGCGCTAACCAACTTGAGGTGTTGGAGATTTTCTCCATTATTCTCCTCTAGTTCAGCCATGGTGTTCGGGGACTTGGACGGAGTTGTGATCCCTCTGCCTCCTCCCTCTATGTGCAGGAAAGAGGACAAGAGTGGAAGTATCAGATGGCCTGTAGGCGCCCAGCTATGTAGTAGCACAAACACCAGCTGAACGTATTTTTGGTCAGGTACAAGGAAACAAATGGCTGTTGGTTTCCCCAAATGTTGTTTACCCTTCTCATATTCTTCTCAACAACCATCATGTATAAATATGTATGGTATTTATTTAAGTGTGCAGCTGAGTACAAACTGAGCAAGGTGCCCTGATACCAATCTTTATTCCCGTCTCTGGTGTGAAATTACTGAGCTCTTTAACAGAATGGATTTGAGAGTACCACAATGACTAATCCTAAATGAAAATTTGGTTAAAAGAATATTCAGAGTCAGAGGAGGGGAGGGGGGGAGAGAGAGAGAGAGAGAGAGAGAGAGAGAGAGAGAGAAGGAGAGAGGGAGAGAGGGAGAGAGGGAGAGATAGAGGGGAGAAGAGATCTTAATATTTAAGCTTAATTTTGACTTGGAGGATAGTCATTTATGTCAACTGATGAGTTTATAATTACTTTTAAAATTATCTTTGAATGTGATAGATAATCTAGCATGGTAGTTAATGATAAGTATTTAAATAGATTTTCTGTGTGTGCACTGAATATGTGATAACTTGGGAGAATATAGCAGAGGCTGTTCACCTCATGATGGACAGGAAGTCTAGAGGGAAGACAGGATCAGAGACCCGCAATAACCTTCAAAGGTCTCCCTCCAGCAGCCTACATCCTTCAGGTCCTTGCTACCTTCAGCAATGGCCTGCCACAGGGGGCTGAAAGTAAATCATCTCCTCTGGATAAATAACAAAGAAAAAATGTACAACTAGCTAGTATATATTCTGTTCTTGAGGTTTTAAATTCTGCTTCTCTGACATATTTTAAAGGCTCTGGTCAAAACTGCCTTCCTCTAGTGACATTTTTTTTTTCATTCATTCTTATTAAACCTCAGATATGATGGATCATTGGGCCAACCAAGCACCATAAACTGGAACACTAACTAACTAAAGAAACACTAGAAATATTATTTATTCTTCCCTGCTTTGAAGATTTTTCTTTCTTTGGCCCCCTTCCCTTTTTCCTTCTGGCTTTCTCCTCTCCCTCTCTGCCTTTCTCCCTTCCTCCTGTCTTCATTCCCTCCATAACTTGCACTCTTTGTGATGAGGTCACCTTGCAGGGCCCCTGGCCTCAGTGGTGCTCTCAGGCTAGACTTCCATTTGGTGGTGTGAACCCTACATTTTTATCTCCTGTCTCCACTCCTCTTGAAAAGGCTGTGGTTCAAACATCTAGAGCTTAACAGAAAAGACTGGACTGGAAAACACTAGCTTTGGCACACAAGTATCTGTGAAGGTTACTGCTTGCATTTTGCTTCCAGCCTCTGCGTTTTCTTCCTTCTCTGCCAGCTTAGCAATGAAGTTAAAACACTTTTAAAATATTCCATTCAGGATCTGAGTTCTTTTAATCAAAGATATTATTTTCTGAATCTCCTCTGCCATATGGAAAAAATGAAGGTCAAGGAGATAGACTTTGAAAGATGAAAAATATTGTGTACTTACGTTGCTATCTTTCCGAAAGATGAAGTGATGTTTTTCTTGAATGCTTTTGACATACCAGCAATTTGTTAATGAAGTAAGCAATTGTTAGTGAAAAATTTTTTAAAAACCTGTATTAGATCATAGTGTAGGTCATAATACAGAAAGTATTTTCACTATTTGCTATGTCAGATGCATATCCTTTTTAAAAATTAATTTACTTTGTTGTTATTATGGAAGTGATATATGGAGGGATTACAATCACGAGTCAGATAATGAGTCCATTTCCTTTTGTACAGTGTCTTGCATTCTCTTAGTTCTCTTCCAGTCCCTCTCTCCTGTCCCCGTCCACCAGTTGTATAGTTCATGTTCCTCAATGTCCAAGGAGCTCCACTGCTGAACTTTTTGACCCTTTGTCCCTTGAGTTCTGTATCCTCCACACAACCCTCCCAAAGATATATACATGAATACGCTGCACTTACAGTAAAGGAGACAGAATCATCAAAAAACTACACACCAAAGTCTTGTTTCCATATCTTGAAGTTTGTTTCAGTATGTGTATTATTTTATATAAACATGAAGAAGCACTTAGGCATTGTGCCTTTGGGTTTCTCTCCAAAGAGTATCCTCTTTTAGCTTGAATGTGTGTAAGTATCTAGAATCCTGTATAATTTGTCATAGCCCAGTGAAGTTTAGCTCTAACTTCCCCGTATCAGAGAGAACATGTGCCGTTTGTCTCTCTGAGCTTGGTGTATCCTTTTTAATCAATAGACTTTATTAGCATCATTTTGGCTTACAAAAGTGTTGATTGGAAAGTACATCATGTTCCCATACACCCCCTACATTTCCCTATTTTTAACACCTTGCATATTTGATTCAACTGAGGAAACAGTACCAATGAGATATTATTACCCATATGTCTTTTGATCCATATTGTTGGATCCTTTCAAAACCGGACAAGATAGATGCTAAGTTCATTCCAGAAATAAAGACCCAATGAACACAGTCTGTCTTCACTCCCTGACTATTGTTTGCTGTGCTGTGATGAACAGTGGAAGTGCAGATGTCTCTATGAGGTGGCCTGTCCACTTCATTTCATTTTTTAAGGACAAGGAGGATGGCTGAGTCTGTGGTATTTCCAATTTCATTTGTAATACTCCCACCAACATGGTGACAGCTTTCACTCATCTCCACACTCTTCACCAATATTTTTGATATTAGCCATCCATGCTTACAGGTGAGTGAAGATAATTCCCTAGCAAATTTGGTACTTGCATGATGACTAATGTGGTTGAGCACATGTTTATTTTATAAACCTGCTTTCCCTTTGTTCTTCATTTTTAAGTTTTATATTTTAAAGTGATTCTTACATGGAGCCTTTGTTAATGCTACCTAATTTAATTTTGTTGTTATAAGGCATTTTTCTTTCTTTCATGATGATGAAGTATGCATGAACATAACTGTATTCCATTTCTTACATTACACCAAGTCACATGTTTCCATTCGGCATGGAGCCTGTCATTTTATATCAGTCGATTATGTTGCTATTCAACAACTATAGAACTTGAATAGCAAATATAAATACTATCTTGTCTACAAAATGCTGTATATGATGGTAGCCACAGTAAATGTATGACTTCTGTTTTTTAATTAAAAAATTTATAGATAAAGGGATCAAATACAAGCAGTTGATACAAATAATGGTTCACATTGATTCAAATATCAATATCAGAATGGTGGATAATTTCAATACTGTCCTTCTTATGATCAAACATATGTTGCATCTGACTTCAAGCATTCTGTGTGTCAATGGGATCCAATTCCTATCATCTCTTCCCTCAACATTTTGATCCAAAAATAATTTTAATTGAGTGTCTTGGCATGATATAAAAGGCAATTCAATGAATGAATACAGTGTCAATTCCAATTGTTAGCCACAAATCTGTACTATATTCTACAGTTTTTAAAAACACAATACATTTCTATTGTACTAATTGACTAATTCTTAATGTAAATATATATTTTTTGTATTCTAGTGAGTGGACATCCAATACTCAAAAGAGCTAACATCCGGGTTGTTGGAAAGTTGGTGGCAAAATCCATAAGAGAAAGGAAACTGAAACAATAGTAGAAATCAAAAGAAGTTAAAACAAGATAATGCAAGATTGATCCTTTTTATAGTTGAATCTATATACCCACACATACAGATTAAGAGTGGATATGGATGAGTTGGGAATGAACAAGGAAAAAAAAACTGAATAGGAACAAGAAGACTTTGACAAGTTATTCCATAATTTCTGAATATCTTTGGATGAACACCTCTCATTTTATCTTCTTCAAAAACCATCTGCTTTATCATAATGAAGTAAACTTGCACAGTGGCAATACTACTTTCACTAGACTGAAATTTTTGGCTGTATTACCAATAAAGGCTATTAATATTACAATTTTTATTTAAAAAACTCATGATTCGGGTGTAAAACACTATTGGAATCATAGTTTTTACTCATTAAAATGATAATATTATGATGTTTTGCTGAAATAATATATGTCTGTTTCTTTGTTGCTGTTTTTTCCAGACTCTCTTTCATCACATAAATTCTTTGGGAAATGGCTTCTGAAAAAAATGCTTTATGTTATTTTTTAGCACAGTCTTATTGGACACATCACATGTTGTCATGTGAAAATGCAATTATATATATATTATTTGTACAGTTACTTACTTTAGTTTTACTTTAGAGAATTAGCAGTGTAGTAGCTAACTTAACAATTTCTTGAGAAACTTAATTTTAATTCCATCCATCTATCTATCCATCCATCTGTCCATTCATCCACCCATATTCAAGAATGTGATTAGAGTAACAAGTGAGCAGCAAGAGTTGAAAGAACAGAATCTATGCACAGCATGGAGACAAGATGCAAATAGAGATGAGAAATGCATGACCAATTCCCTATTTTGTTGATCAGAGTTGTTACCTTTGATGGATTACTTTTAGAATACTATTGGGTTTTAAACAGCTCTCTCAGGCTATTTTCATGCAATTGGGCTTACTGTAAAGTACACTCACATTCATACACACACACACACACACACACACACACACACACACATTTTTACCAAAATGAATTTTTAGAAATGCAATTAGAGGAGTCATGTTAGGTCTATGCCTCATCAAAACCAGAAGGAAGATTGACTAAAAGCCATGGCAAAGTCTAATCACAAAATATGAGAGCTAAAACATTTGATAGGGAAAAATAAATAGTGGTTTCTAGCTAAAATATAACTTCTCTATGCCATTAAGTTGTATATCCTCATTATTGATGGTTAAACTTTAAGATGTTTATTTTTCTTTATTGACATCCTGGGGAAAAAAATACCCAGTTAAAAGAACAACATGTGAACTTGGTATCGTCAAAGCTGCTTGGGAGTCTGAGACTAGGGAGCTCATGACTGGAGTCCAGCCCATCCAGAAATATTTGTGAGACCTTCTCAACCACTGCTAGGCATATCAGTACGAGCCTGTCATTCTAACTACTTGGGAGGCTGAGCTGACTGGGGGGTTGTGGTTCACAGGCCAGCATTAGAAACCCAGAAAAAACTCTGTCTAGTGGCATATGCCTGTTGTTCCAGCCATGAAAAAAAGCCTAAAATAGGTGGATTGTAATCCAGGCACATACCTGGGCAGGAAGTAAGACCATATATATATATATATATATATATATATATATATATATATATATATATATACGTATACATATACATATATATAAGAGAAGTTGCTCAGTGGTATAGCTTCTACCCCTACCTAGAAAATGCCAGTGTGAGCTCAAACCTCAATGTTAAAGAAACATTGCACACAATCTGAATCTCAGTAAATAAGGTATCATCAAACTGCTCCTTTTAAAATTAAGGAAAATGGAATTCGATTTCAGCTAGGTGCCTGTGATTCACGCCTGTGATCCTAGCTACTCAAGAGATTGGGACCTGGAAGATCATGGTTCAAAGTCAGCCTGAGCCAAAAACTCTGCAAGATTCCACCTCAAATTAGCCAGGAAAATATCAGACTGAAAGCATGTTCAAGTGATAGAGTACAAACTGTGTACAGAAAAGGTGGAGCTAAATGTCTGAAGTCCTGAGTTCAAGACCCAGTGCCAACACACACACACACACACACACACACACACACACACACACACACACACAACACATACCCCACCTGGCTAGATTTCTACCTTTACTGTTTAAGATATCAGAAGTACATGCAGATATACTACATGGCAGTTATAAACTTGAATACTGGATTACTTAAGTTGTGCTGTGTGAATTCTATTCAAAATGGTAAGTGTATCAATAAGGGGAAATTAATATAAAATAATGCCAAAATAACTTTCTTTTTTTATTGCTCCTGAGGTTTGAACTAAGGGCCTGGGCATTGTCTCTGAATTCTTTTGCTCAACACTAGCACTCTACCACTTGGAGCCACAGCTCCACCTGTGGTATTTTGAGTAGTTAATTGGAGATGAGTCTTATAGGGACTTTGTGCCCGGGCTGGCTTGGAACTACGATCCTCAGATCTCAGCCTTCTAAGTAGGTAGGATGACAGGCGGACCCACTGGTGCTGGTGTCAAAATAACTTTATGGAAATACAAACGTTAACAGCTCCAAGTTACAATAATTTGGGGCAGGAGACAGAAGTACATTTTATTCTAGTAAAATGTGATTGTTTGTGCCTCTTGTTTCCTACTTTAACCGTGGTTGGTTTTCATCAGATTAAAGCAGGGTTCCTGAATATCTTCCCGAGGAGTTGTGGTCCCACATGAAGTTCGGTGACGATGTGTAACTCCAGAGCAACAGGAGACAGGGTAAGGTCAGGGAAAGGAGCCTCGCCTTTTCAATAGTCATTTTCCATATAAAAATTGGCACTTGGTGCTCATCAAAGAACAAGAAATATTGCATATGCTGTAAATGTCCATTGTGTTCTGAGCCAAGGACCCAATGGAAGTCATCTCTTAGATGCAAATGAGCTGTCAATGGCTCTCCACAGTTGGCAATCACTGGACTGTGAAGGTTACGTCTTAATAAGAACTGAAGCTCTTCGCAGACTTTGATTTACTGGAAATAAAATAGAAAAGTCCTGGGAGACTACAAAGGACACTTGTTTCAGATAAAACGTCTAGACAGTAGCAATATATTTAGGGCTTTTATTATAGCAAAACTGCAAATGAGAATGGGGTGGTGGGAAAGTCCTCATGACCCAGCTGAATTCTAAACACGGCTCCTAACCAGAATACTACAAGCTTTAAAATAGCGAAGCCAAATTAATGAAAGTGCATTAAGGAAAGGGGAAAAGAAACAATGGAAGGTCAAGAACAAGGTTTGTTACACTTTCAATGGTCGTTTTTATATTATCTAATAAATCTACATTTTTCTTAATTAATGTGGCTGTTAAAATAGTTGAAATCCAAATGTCTATGCTTCAGCAACATGACCACTACTGAAAATATTCCAACTTAAGAAGATTTTTCCTTGCTAAATATATTCCAATCTCCCCTACACACACAATTAAAATTCTGAATTCTATGTAACTAATGATTATACTCACATTATTAATAACAATGTATTTGTAAAATGTTTTAGGGTTTGTTATAAGCTTTTATATAAGTTTGAATAATAGAAGCTTTGACAGAAAAAAATTTTATATTCTGAAACACACTATGTTCACAGAAATACCTTATTTCTTAGAGTAGATTAACATCCTAAACAAACCTTTAAAACAATCCTATTAGGATAATTTCTTTCTTGCTTAATTGACAGTCTAGTGCGACTGCTCCATGCAGTCCCGCAGGGGTTCTGGATTTTTCTATTCTAGTAGCCATTTTTGAAAGCCACTACTTCAGTCTTTAATCCAGGAAGTAGACAAAAAAAATGAATCTAGGGATTCTAACCACTTCAGCCTAAACTTGGAGTGAATAATTTCCATTGATATTGTCCATTCCATTGAGCTAGTCACCTGATTTGAGGGTCCAAGAAAATGGCAGCTAGCTTTGGATCCAAGAAGAACCATGTGCCCATGTCTGCCATACAAAGTTGCATTCACTGTTATTTTAGGGAAAAGGAGTATTTCAAATGGCTTCACTTGGATTATTCTTGTTTTAAATATTCTCAGAGAATGATTTCAACAATCCATTTCTACTCTCCCCAGTGTTTTGATGCTAATTCCCTCTCAGAATTCATCAGAAATTCTGTAAACATTTAGTATCTATCTAGAGGGAACCCACTTTCTTTTTCCATATTCAAATTTTTTATGGAAGAAAAGGCAAAACTCTCAGATGTGTGATACTTTTTTCCCAGGAAACTGAAGAACTTCGGGTTCTTTTAAATTTTTAATTTTTGTTATTCGAAGAAAAATCATGGAATATGTTGATCAGAACCACTCTTTTCATATAAAGACTACTCATTTCTAGTTTAGAGAAATAGGCTGCCCCAAACTAGTATTTCTAAAGCAGTGGACATAGGTGCAGAACTGTACCATCTCCAGTCTTTTATGTATCAAACAGAAAAGGCATGAAAAGCTGCTGCTGGGAATAGCACTCAGGGCGATCTCAGAAGTAGTTATACAGTCTAATTTTTTTCAGAATTAAAATATTCTCCTCTCCTTTTGCCTCCCTCCCTCCCTCTTTCCCTTCCTCCTTCCTTCTCTCTCTCCTCTCACTCTCTTCACTTCCCCCCCCAACCTCCCCCATTGTTAAGGGAAAACTTAAAGAATCAAAATCCAAATGTGCTAGTTTAAATATGCTCCTTCAAGCCTACTGGCTCTTTCTGGAATAAATCCATAAACCTCAAGTTCAACAAATTCCACATTGAACTTTTGTGTTTCCCACAAAAGAAGTTTTTAATTTTTTTTGAGAACTCTCAGTACACTATGCTAGTTTTTTTTCACTTGGTAAAACATAGATTTCCAATATAATAATAAAGCAGAAATTTCCTCCCCTTGCCCTGCTGAACTTAGCTTTGGGAACGGTTGCGTAAGGGGACAGGGGAGGGCAGAGCGCTCGTTCTACTGGGGCACAGCCAATGGCTGTGGGGGAGGTCATTGATTTCCTTGTTTTCACAATCCTTTCCTTTTGTATTTGCAATGATTTTTGAGTGATTTGTTTGCCTGCATAAGTTCCTGATTACTATGACCTACATGTTTTTCTTTTATTTCCTTCCTCCTCTTACCTTATTCTTTCCTCTGTACTAAATATTGCTAACCAATGAAGGCTGTAACAATTAAAAAATAGTGAAAATTTAACATTTTCCAAATGAACGTT